AAACTACTCTAATTATATGGTACAGAAAGTGTTCTGCATTAATTTTAAGCTTACTTTATTAAAACATTCTGCAGGGCATGGTAGTACACAACTGTAATCCCAGCACTTGGGAGGCGGAGGCAAGAGGATCACCACAGGCTCAAGGGTAGCCTAGACTACAGAGTGAGACCTTGTCTCAAAACTCATACAAAACAAAGCTATATCCTAATTATCAGTTGCAAGTAATAAGATATAGCACTACAGTCGCACAAAGCTATGGGCTGTCATCTTCTATAGGTTGAAGCTAGTAAGGGTTGGAGAAAAAACTAGTATTTATAGTTTTCAAGAGTGTGGTATTTCACTATGCCACTCACACTAACAGTGCAGTGAGTATGTCACTCTCAGTAGAATGTGCTGCTAGTCTTCAAGAGGTAGTAATCCTAGGGAAGTCAAAATGAAAGTTACGCTACTTCCCCTTGGTCAAAATGAATTTTCCAACCACTGACACGTCAGGCACAGATGAAAAAAGTTAGCTGCAACTTCCCAGTGGGAAAAAACACCACAGGGCTGAGATGGTTTGGGAAATTCTAGACTAGTAAAGAGTTTTAAATAAATATGAACCTTTTTTTTTTTTTTTTTAAAGCATTCAGAGAATTGTCCATTAGCCTATAGGAACAGTTTCTCAACAAATCAGTATAGTAATTGCTTCTGTGGCCTTGTTCATAAAACCTTCCAGAGAACACACGTGGCAGAGTATCATCCTTTTAACAACCAACTAATCACTTGCCATTGTGTAAGACTACTGTTTAGTGTATAGACAGGACACACTTGTGCCCTTTTGGCCCTGTGCAGTGTTCAAAGCAGGAGAGACTTTCTGAGACCAGCTCCATCCCCTAGGTGCTTGCTGAATGAACTACTGCTCAGGCTGCACCCCAGACTTGCTGAACCACAGACTTCGAGGGTGTGGTCCAGTCACTGCGTTTTCATAAGAGCCCCTAGCAGACTGGGTATATCCTGCAGTTTCAGAACCACTGCTGTACGGCAGGGACTGGGAAACATTTTCCTAAAGAAAGATGGTAAATATTAAGGCTTTGCAAGATAAGAAGCAACACTGAGGTTATTGTGTAAGTGCAAGGTAAGATGCTAAAAATCACTCTTAGCACACAGGCATAAAAACACAGGCAGCTCATCAGTATGCTGACGGCTACTCTAAGGTACCTCAAATCTCCCTCTTTCAGAAACCCACAGAAATCTTCACTTAGGAAAATATAGGGTCTTCCCTAAAATATACCACTTATCACTAAAATTGCTGGCTTACCTCTCATACACCAAGAACCTACAGCAGAAGCACGACAATGTATGACTGAGAATTTACTAGGCATCTAAGGGCTCCTCTACCTGCTCTGTGCTGGCCACTGCCAAGGACACACAGGATATACAAGCAAAATCCATGTCCAAAACCTCACCTGCTGCTTTTTTTAAATGTCGTTTCAGGTAATCCTTACTAATAATACTACGAACTGTAGTGTTACAATAATCCAATTTTACATGTGAGGAAATCAAGGCTCAAAAAGATTCTTTTCCTGATGTCACAGACTTGAGTCCACTAGCTTTTAATCTAGGCTTCTTGGATTCTGTGAGCTCTGTATCCCAAGTCACTATGTCCTACAATTCTGTGTCCTAGAAAAATGGTCTTTAATCTCAAGGCCTTGCAATGAATCTAGCAGCAAAGATCAACAGACATAAAACTCCAAGGAAATAGCAAGAAGCAGTATTGAAAGTGTTAACATGGTGCATGCATATTAGCAACTCTTTACTATGGGGCTTAATGGAAGGGTCAAAGTGATTCATGAGTGAGGTGTAGTACATAGAATAAAGTCCGAACACCCCCACGGATATTTTTGTCCCAATCCCTCAGCAAAAGGAACTCACTGAGCCTTTGCTGGAGAGATTATCCCAGATAATTCAAATACTGACATGTGCACCCTCAGTGTGGAGGCCTCTGGACAAGGAGCCCCTTGGACTCGAAGGGTTCAGATGAGGTTCTGAGATGGGACCTGCACGACAGGATGGGTGCACCTCTGAGGAGAGACCCGTGAGCCAGCCTCCTAGACAAAGCAAGGAAATAGTTGTCTGCAAGCCAGGAGAGTCTTACCACCTCTAGACCTTTGAGAAAAGAACTTCCCCTCATCTAAGCCACCAGTTGCTGTCACAGCAACCTGAGCCGACGGTCACTGTGATGGAATGTGAGAAAGACTCACTGGTTGTCCACTAGCTCTGAAGATGCAAGGGGCCAAGAAGCAAGAATGTAAGTGGCTCTGAATTTGGAAAAGGAAGGAAATGTATTCTCCCTGACAGCTGGCATGAAGAATCTCTGATAAGGCCTTGATTTTAACCTCTCAAGACCCACTGTGCAATTCTCACCTGCAGAACTGAAAGATAAATTTCTGTTTCTTGAAACCGCTCACTGTGTGGGAACTCATTATAGAAGCAACAGGAAAGGAACCCAGGTGAGAGACAAGGAAGGCTGGCTTTGTACAATACCTTGGGCCCATGGCTAGAGAAGGGTAGGGAGGACAGGCAGGTCCTGCTCAGATGACTAGGACAAGGGATAGTACTCAGAACCCAGGGAGGGACTGTGCAAAGACACAAACGTCAGTCAGCACAAGTTTTCCAAGCAGTGGCAGCCTGGCACGAGCAGACACACGGGGTGCAGCTTGAGGTCAGATGGGGCCAGCATAAGACAAACCAGGGCAGTCCCAGGCTCAAGGAAAATAAGGACAAAGAGATCAGAAAAAGGGCAAGATGAGAAGTACAGGCTAAACTATTCTCACTTTTCTTTCAGTCCTACATAAAATCTCCCTAGACAAGCATTGCCTTAGATTGTCAAATACTCTTAATGCTCTGATCAGAACACAAACTCATTACAAAATGAAGACTCTCAGTGCCCTTACAACACACCTTGCCAACTGTGGTGGACAGCACCCTAATCCCTTACTAAATGTGTCTGACTTCTTTCTGACAATTTGATCTGTCCCTTAGATTCTCCTACTAAATATATTCAAAAGAATGTGCTACAAAAAGCAGTTCTAGAAAAGCAGGTCCCAAAATGCTACAAACAATGTCAGCGATACCAGAGGAAAAGTATACAGTTCCCTCAGGTGACTTTTGGAAGGAGACAACACTTATTTTGAAACAAAGTTTTGGGACCAAGAATCTAGCTTCTTAAAAGTCAGACTCATGGGCCTATAATAACTCAAATTTGGCATGCCACAATAGATGGGTACAAGATGACAAAAATAGGAGACCCTCCAGGTCAGGTGGATGGGCAGCCTGCTGGACATGTGGCACTTCAGAAAGGTCACTGGGTGCGTACTGAGAGATCTGTGACTCAGTATTCTCACAGTTGTGAGTGGGGCCCATGTCCTGCTGACCTCAGCATGACTGAGACATTCCTTGTCGTCCTGCTCCATCCCTCTGGCTACAGGGAGACCCCATGGGATGTAGAGGACATGTCAGCCAGGCACACCCGGGGCCACAGTCAGGCTCCCAGACTCTTGCTCGCCCTGAGTAGGGTGCTCTTCCCCAAGCTGGCCTTTTCCTCTATCACCCAGCAGTGTCCTGGTGCCATCAGCCTCCTGTTTCCCAGTGAATCTACAGAGTTACTTGATAACATCCTTTTCCCTACATTTCAAATTAGGATTTACCAACTGTCTACCTGGATTTTTCCAATGATGACTTGGTTTCATGGGGCCAGGCTGTTCTTTAATTTTGTTTGTTTTTTTTTTTTTTTTTAAAGGTCTTCTTTTTTTTTTTATATTTATTTATTTTTATTTATTACATTTATTTATTGTGTGTGTGTATGGCCAGCTCAGCCCACCAGGGGGCGGGTCTGGCTGGCATGTGGTGCTGGGGATCGAACCGCGGTCCCTGTGCTTTGCCAAGCTTGTTTCAAGTAGGTGCTTTAGACCACTGAGCCATCTCTCCAGCCCCTAATTTTGTTTTTTTAAATCTTTGTTTTTAATAGTTTGCAGTACACGATGATTATTTTAAAAATATGTTCTATCACACATGGGTTTGTGCAGGGCAGCCTGTTACGTTCAAGCTAAAAGTTGCAGTGAGTTTTTTCTGATGCATGTCTCTAAGTCTAAATCAAATTCAGACTGACAAATGTTACAAGTACATTTACTTTAACTATTTGGCAACACTTACATATGCATTCATTTTCTTTCCAAACTAGGAAAGGCAAGAACCAAGAAGGGGGCAGGGATATAGCTCAGTGGCATAAGCACCTGCCTGGAAAGTGCAAGGTCCTGAGTTCCATCCCCAGTATCTCAAAAACAAAACACACAGATCTGTTCTTTCAGTCCTTTAATTAATCTAGTTTTTTACACACTTTAAATATCTTTGCAAAAGGTTCATTTTTCTTGGAAATGTGGTATTATAAGTTGAACTAAATTCAGAAATTTTAAATTTTTAAATAGTTATTGCCTACTCCTTTCTACTTTGAGAATTCTAATTATATGAATATAAGTTTCTTGGTTTTGACACAGTGAACTATTATGATTGATCTGTAAATTCTTTCTTCATTTTTATTTTGGACAGTTTTTATTGTTATATTCAGTTATGTTTGTAAATAATTCATTTTCAATTTGCAATCTATTAACAAATTTTTAAAAATATAACAAAAAAAAAAACCCACAACAAACAAACAAACAAACAAACCAAAAAACCTGGAGAAAATAGAAATGGAAAGGGAACTCTGGCATGATTCTCAACACTGTCCAAATCACAGAGACAGGAGCAGTGTGGCATCCTCAGCAGCCAGTATGACAAGGCAGTTCATACAGGAAGACAGATAGAGGACATCCCTGAGTGAGACAGCAGGTAAACAACACCCACTTCTGGAGTGAGCACACTGTAGCTACCCTCTGCCATTCAGTTTTGCTAACTGGCTAGTGGTGACCACAGTCATGGCATCAAGATGTTAACAGAAATTCCAAGATAGGAACAGTACTCACCCAGCCCAGAGATGTTTATTGCTTTCACTGATTTCTTCATTTTGTAAAGAACCATCCGGTCCACGTCCAAAGCCTAAAACACAGAGAATTTGCCAATTAAAACATGTCTGTGCTTAGATAATACACCGGAGTGCGATATGTGAGCCCTGCAGATCCCAGGTTATGCTGGGACACAAATCCTGGGCTGGGCATACAGCACTTGCTTTCAAATGACAAAGAGTAGCAGTTTTCTTAGAGATACAAAAAAAAGAAAAGAAAACCACAAAAAAACTCAGCTTTGCTCCTATCTCACCTACCTGAAGCAGGTGGCCCTGGTCACAGATTAGCCAGCCACGGCCCTCCACAACAAGGAACGGGAACCTTGACACACAGTTCCACCATGACTCATTCCCCTTCATGCAGCAAGACTCTAGCCAGCATGTGGCTGCCCGTGTCTGTGCCCCATCCCCCAGAGGGAAAGAAAGGTAAGGTGGACGAGGGGTGTCATGTCACAGACACAGGTGGTCCAGGGAAAGGCAAACCACTCTTGATTTTTGGAAAGAGCTAGACATGAATCTGTCAGCTGAGGGAGAAGGCATGGTCCTAACCCTTGTCCAGAAACTGGCAGACTAATACCTAGCTTTGCAACAGACTCATGAATATTTAGTAAAGCAAAGAGTGATAGACCAACTGTCACACAGGAGCAGTACACAGCACTTACAATGCAAACAGCAAGTACTCAAATGTATCTGTTCAAGGACTCATGAAACCTGGAGAGTTATTTACACAAAAGACACAGACTGGGCCCAGAGAGATTGCTCTGTAGAATAAGCACCTGCCTGGCAAGGGCAAGGTCCTGAGTTCAATCCCCAGTACCGCAAAAAAAAAAAAAAAAAAGACACAGACTAAGACATCCTTGCAACCATACAACCTATGGAGAAGCATGACAATTAAGGGCGTCACCTCTTAGTTGAGCATCTGTAAACTGGCAAAGTGATGCCAATCATGGGGCTACCATGCCGACCACATTAGGAATGACAGAGAGGCACCCAACCTGCTTCCTGGCATCAAGGAGCCTGGTAACAGTGCTGCTGCTGGGATCCTAACACAAAGAAAGCACTCAATGGCTAAGCATGCAAGCTGAGAGCAATACAGCTCCCGTCTTCTGGGATCGCCTCTACATCTAGCCCCCAGTGCAGCACCCTCAGGCCTATTTCTAATGCAACAACAGTGGTTTTACTGGAATGTATGGTCAGTGCAGGCAATTTTAAACAGGAAGTTGACCACCAGGCTTTTCAGTGTAGTTATGATATAAAAAGGTGTTGTATTTGTGTCCAAACCTGCAGAACCATAATTGCCTGCAGCTGTAGGCTCATCCATGGTAACAAATGTCCCTCTGTGGGTACCACCACAGTGGGGAGGGTGTGCACATGTAGGGCACATGAGAACATTACTTCCTGTGTGTGTGCTGCAGTACTGCAGACAGAACTCAGGGCCTTTACACTGGGCTCCATCTCCAGCCTTTTTATTTTGAGGCAAGGTTTTGCTAAATTGCCCAAACTGAGATTGAACTTGTGATCCTCCTGTCTCAGCCTTCCAGAGTGCGGGGACAACAAACATGTGTCACCATGCCCAGCTTTTCTGTTTAACGTTGCTATGATCCCAAATGTCTGTTTGAGGAAAAAAGCATTATTTTCTGCCATGTTGTAGAAAGAAGTTGGTTAAGAACAGACTCACGGTAGTTAATTTTTTGTTGTTGAGACAGGATCTCACTATGTAGTTCAGGCTGGCCTTGAACTCACGATGTAGCCCAGCTGAGGCCCAAACTGTCGTCGACCCTAGTGCCTCAACCTGAGTGCTGGGATTACAGATATGCACCTGGCAAAGAGCAGATGTTTCTTTCACAGGCACATCCCAGTGCCTAGCAGAGAGCAGGGCACTGCACCAGTAAACAGTGTTACCAAGGCAGAGGGGGCTGCAGATGGGCTGCTGAGAGGTTGCTCAGTATAACTGCTCAGGGTATCAGGAAGTGGATTCAGGGAAAAGTTATCCAAAGAGGCAGGAAGTGGGTGGAACCACAATTCAGAAGCCTGCTGGGTATACTCTTGGGAATTAGCCTAGGACTTCAAACCCCTGCCCATCCAGCCCCTGCTCTCTACCCACACATAACAGAGGTTGCCCCCATAGGCACCACCTTGAAGGCAGGGGTCTCCATCATTGTGGGACAGGTCAGTGTGGGACAGGTGTCTTCTTCAGTGCAACTTGCAGAAGACTTGGGAAACGCCACTGTGGGGGTGGGGGTGGGGGTGGGGAAAGGGGTGGGGCATCTCTGCCCTACTACAGAAGAGAGGCAGGGTTCCCTGAGTGAGGCAGCAGGAAAGCACTGCTGCTTTCCTCAGGTGTCAAAGACAGGCTGACATGACAGTGCTGGGTGGCAAAGGTGATTTTAATTAAAACTATTGGAGGGACAGCAAGTCCCTCCCTACTCAAAGACATGCCTTCATTAGGGTGCATATTCAGATGATCAAACTTGGTCAGACCCACTGAGAATGATTAAATCTGAGGAACAGGAAAAGCCCATGTCCAGTAATTAAAAACAAAAACAGCCCTGGAATAAAGCAACAAAAATAACAAAACTTTAAAGTCTCAAGAAAGCAAAGCTGTCTGCTTAGCTGGCTGATTTGCAACCCAACTCAGCACTCACTACTCTTCCCCAAATCTACCTAAACTCAGAAGGAAAAACATTGTATCTTTCTCCAGAATTTGTGTGTAAAAACTACAAACACAAAAATGTAACAGACAATAAACATCTAAATAAAGCTAAGTCCAGCCAAACCTCATTAACTCTGAAGGCCAACTTAGACTGATAAAACAAGTTTTTCAGAATAAATGTACTGCATAAGCAAGACTATAGTGACATGTTGCAAATATTTCCAAGGAAGCTGAGAGTAATGGTGACTGAGGCAGAAGGATTCCCTGCAAGTTTGAGGACAGCCTGAACTATATACAAGACTGTCTCATAAATGAAACAAAAGAAGACTATAGTCAAATATTTCCAAGGAAAATAAATAAGTATTGGGCCATCATGTAGGGACTGAATGGCACAAATAAAGGTGAGCCACATCCTTGTTCCATCCTCACTGTCACACTTGTGCTGTCCAGTATGGCAGCCACAGGTCAGAGAGATGATGCTGCAATCAAGACCATAATGAAGCTGGGCATGGTGGCACTTGCCTGTGATCCCACAGTTCAGGAGGCTGAGGCAGGAGGATTGTTTTGTTTTGTTTTGTAGGGAGGATTGTTGTGAGTTTGAGACCAGTATGCACTACAAAGTGAGCTCAAGGCCAGCCTGAGCTGCATAGCCAGACACTGTCTGAAAAAGACAAAAAACAAAAATAAGCAGCACACAAATTCAGCTCCTTGCACGCTGCTACTTTGCTGGGTAGCTCCAGCCATATAGGATGTCTCAAGGGCTCCAGCTGCTGGCACCGGCTCAGGCTCTTTTCCAGTCACTACAGCATGGAGCTCACCCTGTGACATACTCCCATCCCTGAGAATGCAGCTCAGGGGCCTCCTCTGGGCCCCACAAATCCCCACAAGTGTCCTCACATCTCAATGGTAGACTGGACAGCGTGGCAGTCTCCAGCCAAATCTGGCCACAGCCTATCTGAGGTCACAGCCTAAGGGTTTATACAGGTGGACAGTTATTGGATGAAACTCTGGGAAGGACTTACTTGGAACCCCAGTGCAGAGAAACAGTAGCCCTACTCTTCTCATTAGTAGCTGCCCTATGGTTATTACTATGCTCTGGTATCATTAATAAAACTGCAGAAATTTATCTTCTCTTTGGGTCTTTTTTGTTGTTTTGTTTTTTTGAGCCAGGGTCTCACTGTACAGTTCAGGCTGGCCTTGGAATCACTATGCAGCCCAGGGGGTTTTGAATGCCTAACTATCCCCCTGCCTCAGACTCCCAAACATTGGATCAGAGGTTTCATCACCATACCCAGCTCTTTTCCCTCTCATATTTTCCTTCTAGGTCCACAAAGCTTTGTCCAACATGGGCACAGAGAAGCCAAATAAAATGTGTGTCCACAGCATTAGCCAGCCCTATTCCAGAGAATTGGAAACAGCCAGTTCGCACAGGCAGGAAGGAGCCACTTCCTCTCCAGAATCCAAAGGCTGTCCTGGGGGGCCTGCAGACCCAGCTTCAACCTTCTTCCCCCGGGCATCTCCTCTGATTCACAAAGGGCCAACCTGAGTGGAAATGACAGTTGTGAAAGGCAGTAGACAAAACAAAACCACACTTGCCCAGATCTGTGCCCCCAGGGCAGCTCTGCCAGACTCAAAAGAGTTGCATAAACATTTAGATGGCAGCTGTGTCTCATCACACATTTGACTTTGCAAAAACCATGGAGCATTAATGAAAGTGCCAAATACTTCCTTCAGCCTTTGAGGAAGCACAGAACTGCACTGCAGGCTGCAGGCTCAGTGTACAGCAGAGCAATGATGGACACATCTCCTTCTGGGGCTAGTGCAAGGCCTGGAGGGGAGCAGGTGTCATTAAGAATTAAGATCAAATAAACATCGGAACTAAATCACAGTGTGTGTGCCTAAGGACCGACCAGAAGGGTACCTTTAGTCATTATCTAATAAAACAGAAGTTAAGCACAAGGACGTTTAAAACACTCTTCCAAACAGCCACAAATTAGACAGACCCAAATGTCTGTTAATGGTAAAATGGGTAAACTGTTGTGTGTTCATACTACTAAGTTACTGAACCATGGAAAGAAACCGAAATGAACACGAATGAATTTGGCAAAAACAGCAGAAGCAGAAGGATACTGCAATATTAGACCACAAAGCCTCCCTCAGAACACAGACAAACCTAGACCAGGACGCTGATGTATGGGAATGACTGCAGGCAAAAGTATAAATCAGAGCGAGAAGAGGGTGATGTACTGGTTAGAAAGCAGTGACTAACAGCTATGATGGTGAAGAGGGGCCCCACTACACTGCTGGGTGCTGATCATGACCAGGACACCAGTGGACCGAGGCAGCAGACTCACTGCAAATTACCTGTGCATCTAGCACACA